ATGATGTCGGCCTTGGCGGGTCCGGTGACGTGGCGGTCGAGGTAGACGACGAGGGCGTTCTGCATGACGAGGCTGCTGGCCGCGAATCCGAGGACCATGCCGAGGCTGCGCCAGAGGATGAGGGTGCTCGTGACGACGGCCTGGTCGCGCTGCGCCGACACGGCGAGCACGGCCATGAAGGTGCCGGGGAACTGGAAGCCCTGGCCCAGGGCGTGCGGCACGAGGACGAGGAGGTAGCCGAGGGCGGGCCAGCCGCGCTGCAGGCTGGCGAGGGCGAGGGTGCCGAGGACGAAAAAGGTCGTGCCGGCGGCGAGGGGCCACTTGAGGCGGCGCGTGCGCGTGATGAGGAGGCCGGTGATGGCGCCGGCAGTGGAGGCCACGACCGAGGGGATCACGAGGCGGAGGCCCGAGTCTGTGGCCGACAGCAGCAGGACGGCCTGGAAGTAGAGGGGGATGTTGAAGAGGATCGCGTTGGTGAGGATCGAGGCGAGCGCGTTGGCAAAGATGAGGTTCATGCGCGGCGAGTGCCGGACGAGATGGAGAGGCATGATGGGGCGCGTGGCCAGCGACTGGCTGTAGAGAAAGGTCGGGAAGGCGACGGAAAAGGTGACGAGCGCCGCGATGACGAACGGATGGGACCCTACAGGTTTCTGTCAGTCGGGCTACGGCACATGGACGCCAGGCCAGGTGTACTTACAGGGCAGCACGTTTCCGCCCAGGTTCTGTCGAGGCGCATCGGATTAGTCTGCTTCGTTGCGAAAAGGTTCACTTGAGTGACTTACGAGGCCCAGCACAAGGGATGTGATGGAGGTCGTCAGCAGCAGTGAGCCCCTCGAGTCAAACGCCTGGAGAGCCTCGAGGAAGGTCTCCCGCTTGCCCACGATGCCGAGGTCATTGGGGACGGCCAGAGAGGCGACCAGGACGCAGATGAGAATGGGGAGCACCTGGATGCCAAACTCCCACCGCCAGCCAAGGTGGTCCGCCATGGCACCGCCGAGAGCAGCGCCAAGAGCTGAACCGATGCCGTAGGTGATGTTGAGGTATGACTGGTACTCGCCTCGTGCCCTAGAACATCGTCAGTGTCATGACGAATGACATGGCCACACTCTTCGTGGGAGGAACAACACGTACTCGATGGTCACCATGTCACTGATGATGATACTCCCCAGCGTCATCATGCCTCCGGCGCCGAGGCCGCACGCCGCTCTGGCAAAGATGAAGCTCGTCATGCTCGTGGCCGTGGCACACCACACGTTGGCCATGGCAAAGATGAACATGGTGATCAGGTACGGCGGTTTCCGTCCCACCGAGTCCGAGATGCGTCCCAGCAGAGGCTGGAAACTGGTCGAGGTCAGCAGGAAGGCGGTCGAAAGCCAGGACGCGCTGTTGGAGGCGTTGAAGTAGGAGGTGATGACGGGGTGGCTCGAGGCCATGATGGTGCCGTCGAAGCAGGCGATGAAGTTCAGCGTGAGGATCATGCTAAAGATGCACCAGAAACGGCGGGTGCTGATGCCGTTCAGGTAGGGGGACTCTTTGACATCCTCGTGGCCGTTCGGGAGGAGGGGGTCGCGGTCATCGTGCTCGGTATCAAGGTAGGGGGACGCCGGTCCGTCTTGGTCGTCAGCACCATTCGCAACACGGTTGGCGGTTGACGGCCGTGGACTCCCTCGGCTCTTGCTCTGACTGTGGCTCCTTGTCGCACCGGCTCGCTGTCTGGAAACAGAGCTGTAGCGACGGGCACCTCTCAACAATGGATTCTCGGTCGACTCGGGCTCGAGAAATCCGCCTGATGTCGGCACGGATCTTGCGAGAAGAAGATCAAACTCGTTTGGATCAATTTCATCCCCCTCGTCACTATCGTCAGAATCTCTGCGACCACGTCCGGTCCTCGGCACAGTCAGATGGTTGGTCGTCGGGGAGCTGCCTGTTGTTCCAAGCAGTGGTGTGTTCTCGTCGACGCCTTGTGGTCGCGAGAGCGGCGACAGATCGTCGCTGTCACTTCTCGTGGCCATGGCGTCCACCCTTTTTTTTTGCCTTCTACAACAGAAGAGCCCACAAAAAAAGGGGAAGTGTTGGCGATGGCGATGAGGATTGACCTTTGATGAGGCGGGGCCCGATTGATAGTTCTGAAGGTGGGGCAGGCTCTGAATGCTGCAAGCGTCAGCAGGCGGAAAGGCGAGAGCGATCGCTTATTGAGTCCCCTGTACTAGGTGTGTTGGGTGTGTTTTTCCAGTGTGACTCAGGGAAAACCGACTGATCTCATGTAGTCTACCTCCTGATTGATGGCGAGACGAGAAAGGAAGTGCGCGAACGGAACAAGGCTGGCGACAGGTTAAGATTATGGGCAGCCAAAGTTGGGGCAAGAAGGATGATGTGATGCGGGGCCGGCACCGGAGCTTGTCCACGTCCCGCCGGCCCCTGTTGGCTCGGCGCCATCCCCGGTCGTGCCGAGCGACCGGCTTGTGCCGGACAGCCACGTTCTCTTTGTCCGACGGCGTCTATCTCATTGGGCTATATGCGAGTGATTGACTGATGCAACTTGCTGCTGTCCATGATTGCTTATCATATGACACGAGTTTGGCAGTATGGTTACATTTCAGGCCTGCCATACACATCGCCGCGAAAAGCGTGGTAGACTCCTGCACCCGAGCTCACTGTTGATCAGAGGGGGCCTGGGCTTCGCCTCGTAGCCACGAATGCATGCAACCCTGCAGAATGTCCAGTCTGTCCTCGGGGAGCCACGCTAGGAAGCCTTGCACAAAGTCGATGAACACTTCCTTGTCCTCTCCTTCAAGAGTCCCCGCAAGACGCTCAAAGTTTATATCGGGCAAGGGTGCAAGTCCCTTCCACTGACCTATCAGGCAGCTTCTGTCAGTCATCCACATGATGCAAGGTTTTCTCTCAGAAACACGGTCCGTACCATCGTCTTCCCAGTGTTTGGCCGCCTCCTTGCTCCTCCCGAGAAACTCGGCCGGTGGTGGGCCAAGCAGAGCAGTCATGGCTGCAAGGTGATGCGCGTCATTCTTCTCCTTCGACTCGTGGTCGTACACGGTGAAGGGATTTTCTCGCTCGAGAAGATCACACGCCTACACATGCGGGGGTTCCAGGTCACGGGTCAGAAAGAGACTCCTGAGAAAGAAGAATATGGTGGGGGAGGGAGGAAACGAGGCAAGCCTTCCCAAGAGCCCCACGCTCCAGTTATCGACGCGATAGCCCCAGGGCATGTCCACGATGACCTCGGGGGCGCGATATGGCAACGGCATGGCGTTACCAGAGTGCTCGTCGCCGATTCGAGCCTGGCCCAGGTCACAGATGGTCAGTGGCCCGGCTCCTCCTAGAACATACTGCGATACCTGAATGGTCACTTCATCCGTCTACTTCCGCGGCGATGGGCGTTCGACTTCATTCTGTTCCACCTTGGCAAGAACAGAGTCGCTTGTAATGGCAATGAGGAGATTGTCCGAATGCAGATCTAACCACCGCCAGTCAGATGGCATACCTCACCGTCAGATCTGCCGATTTGCCAGTGTGTATCACATCTGCCTCATGGAGAAAATGAACCCCGAAGAGCGTCTACTTGAGCGCGCTGGTCACGAAGACCTTCGGGAAGACCTTGTCCTGCTGCATGTCCTGGAAAGTCCTGAGGCCCATGCCCAGCGGTGTCATGATGAACACGCCGTGGGGTCCTTGAATCTTGAACGAATCTTCCAATGTCCGAATGTGCTTCAAACCTGGATGTTCGTCTACGCCATCAGTGGTCACGTTAGCGCCTGCCAGATGCTGATAGACCCGAAGCTCCTGGTTGTGGTCGGGCAAGTCGTTAACGTGCACCTTCAAGGCCCAGTACTTCTGCGATCTGAAATCAGAGCATGTGCCTGTCAGAAAATTCTGGTTCAACTCTTCAGGAAGAATGGTGTTTACCTAAGGTCACGGGCCAGCCACACGGTAGAGCTGCTTCCATACCCGAGCTTCGCGACAACTTGGTAGTGGTCGTGGATGACTTGACCAATCTTCATGGGATAGTACACTTCGCGCTTACTCTTCCACCTTTTCAGCTCGGTCGATTAGCTCGAACCCGCTGGATGGAAACTGGCGTGGGGTGGCCAGGGTCGACTGGGAGGACCTGTCTCGTGTGGACGCCATGGTGATCCTCGAACTTCGACGTAGCCAACGAATGACGGATCTTGGGTATGGAGTCAAAAAAGAGATGGAGAGAAGGAACCTCCGTGCGAACATGTCCGCCGAGGCGTCTACTTAGACTGATGTTGATCATTGATGGGCCAAGCCATCAAGTTCCAACTGATTTCAGGTCGTTACTCCAGGCGTTGGCCCTCGCCATGGTATGTGCCCAACGCCCACTTGTTGGCAGTCAGGTAGCTGGCTCTCCTACCTGTAAGCTATTACCTACCAAGGTACTTCTACCTTGAATAGGCAAGCTCAAGCTGTACTGCTGTGTTCCTTTGAAACACATCGTAGCATTAATGCTTTAAAAGCACACTCATGAGGGCATCAAGCTTGATTTCCGCTCCATCTCAGACGGCGTTTGACTCACGAGTATGGTTGCAATCCAACAGAGACGTCCCACGCCCCAACCCACCAACCAGCATTGGTTGGGAAACTTCTTAAAGACATCAGGAGACAGAGAGTTTGCGTTCAGCTTTGGAAAAGAGAGCCGGAGAGAAGACACTTCGAACATGTACACTCGAGCAAAGAATAGCTGTCATATAGTTGATAGGTTAATCGACCAAAGTAGAAACATACGAGTTGGCGGCCGTGCTAGTTGGGACAGGCAGGAACGCCAACACGAGCCGAGCTCTTTGGGACTTGGAACACGCCTCATAAAACGTTTTCTTGGTAACTGGAATGAAACCGGAAAGTCAACGTCTCTTGTTATTTAGACTCCGTCTGGACTGGAGGCAAATCCACAAAGGACGTCCAAGCATTGCTACTGCAACACGGTCAGCTGAGACGAATTGTGTTAGTTGGGTGCGGAAAAGACGAAAATGTGCCAGAGCTCAGAGCCATGGGACGGATTCTGTTGCCATACTGGCGAAGGGAGCTATAAGTGTCGAAGGTGAAGACACTTCATGGCACTGTGTCTCGTGAGATATACGATCTAAAACCTCGAACTCGATGAATTGACACACAACTAATATAACACACCGCACAGCTTCCTTCAAGGTACATTGATTTTAATCATGTCATCATCCAGGGCTGTGGCGAAGACTTTGGAGCAGGTCGGCAAAGTCAGCCTTCAGCATGTTCTGACCGCAAACCCGGCGACTGGTCCCGAGTGGTTCCATGCTCTCGATACTGCAAAGAAAACTGTGCAAGCTGATGTACATTTGACCCCGAGACAGTATTACTTATTGATTTACTGACCGTATTCAGCATCCTGATGTCACCTCATATGAGAGCGCGTAAGTTGTTTTGGAGTATGAGTCTTTTCTGCATCGGTGCCCGCCTAACGCTGTATCAATAACAGCGGAGCCAAGGCTCATCAGTCCCATAATTTAGAGGCCCATTCGAATGTCCTCAGTGTCAAGTTCTTCGCCGGCGGCCAGAGGGTTGTGTCGGGCCATGTCCACCTGGGCGGCAACATAGATTACGGGAAGAGGCGATGAGGCCGAGCATGACAGTCGAAGGGTGTGCTTGTTTCAAGCTAGGAATGGCGATGCGCCGAGAAAAGCCTTAAAATGAAGAGATCCCAGGAGCATACCTGGTCTTTCCTTGTTTGCTTTGAGATGAGTTGCATTGTCATGTAAACCAACGTGGAGTTCCTTGCACAGCACACGATCCTGGAGAATCTGGCGTGGCCACACTGGCTAATGTTCTCTGGCAACGTCGGAATTATGTGGAAGTTATCAAGAGGCTCGAAATTGAAATCGATTGACTTGTTTGACGTCGTTTATAATGATCTTCAAACGCTATATGTGGATACACAACGACCTGTGAACATTCCTGCGTGCCCTCCCCTACCTGCACTTCTCTAACAGCCGAACAGGTATTACTTCTTTCGCGACGGCCTCGCGTTCTTAGCCCTCTTCTTCTCCGCCTCTTTCCTTGCCTTGCGAATATCCTCGGCCCCCTTGATCTCGAACTTGCTGCCGGCGCCGTCCTTGAAGCGACCGATACGCTTCTCTTTAGCCTCAGCCACCCTCTTCTTCCGCACGTGGTAATCGTCACGGAACTTGTCCGCCTCCTTGGGCGCCTTCTCCAGGTTGTGCTTGTACCGCACACCCGTCGGGATCTGCGGCGCGTTGCTCTTCTCGAGCTCGCCCACGCGCGGCTTGCCCATTCTGTTGGCCTTGCGCCACTTGTCGTAGCGGCCGCTCTGGAAGCTCGCCGCGATCTTGGTGCCGCTCTCGCCGCGGATGTACTTCTTGCCCTTGGAGCCGTCCTCGTCGTTGGCGCGCGCCACGTACTTGTTCTGCTTCTTGTCCCATCGCATGCCCGACTTGGCCTGGTCGCCAAACTGCGCCTTGCCGCCGTCATCGTTGGTCAGGTTCATCGCCGCTTCGCGCGCCTGCTCGACGAAGCTCGAAGTCTGTGTGCCGGAGGAGATGCCGTAGCCACGCTCCTCAGCCGTGTTGATCGTGCGGGGCGTGTAGCCCATGAAGATCTCGTCGTCGCGGTACGAGTTGGCCGCCTTCTTCTTCTTGTCGTCGGGGTTCGAGATTGTCACCTCAAGATCATCATCCGAGTCGTCCATATCGATGCCAGAGATACCGTCCATCTCATCGGCGCCCTCACCCACTGCCGCTTCATCATCGTTGTCGTCGTCGAAGCCCTCCATGTCTTCATCCGAATCGATTTCCTCCTCCGCTGCTTGACCTCTCCTCGGCGTGATCCTCTTGCGCAGCTCCTTCATCACCTCGGCAGCCTCACTGTTGCCCGCCTTTCCGCCCCTGCTAATCTCGAAGATGGTCTCATGCGGCCGGTAGCCGCTTACCTTGGCCATCAGCTCCGCCCGCGCCTGCGCATCATCGTCCTTGACCTCGTCAAAGAGCGGGTGCAGCTGCGACCACGCCTTGCTCCCGACCGTCTCGCGCGCACGCCGCGCGCTTTGGCTCGACGCCGAGTTGCGCGTCTTGAGATAGAGCTTCTCGGCCTTGACAGAGACCCTACGCGTGGCCTCGATATCCTCGTGGTCGCCCAGGACCTTGGCCAGCCACTCCATGTGCACCTCGATCCTGTTGCGCGGCAGCGCACCCACGACGACTTCTTCGTTGTAGGACGGGCTCTCGCTCTCACGGCCGACCACCATCTTGCGTCCCAAGAATAGCTGCAAATCGAGCAGGTAAGGGGCATCGAGCTCCCTGACGATGCTGTACGCCCAACCGCGTTGACCGGCACGGGCAGTTCGACCGACACGATGCACGAAAACCTTGGGCTGGGGTGGGAAGTCGTAGTTGATAACATTCGCCAGCACAGGAATATCGATACCTCGAGCAGCGACATCTGTGACGACCAGGATGTTGGACCTGCCGTTGCGAAAGTTCTCCGTGTGTATCCTACGCGCTTCCTGGTCGAGCGCACCATAGACGTAGGACACAGCAAAGCCAGCCACCCGCAGCAAGTTCGCCAGGTATTCAACGTGATGCTTTGTCGCCGCGAAAATGATGGTCGAGTGTTCTGTAGGCTTTCCCTTGCCGCCAGAGCCGTCCTTGCCGCGCTTTCGCTTTTTGTTTGGCTTGCCGTCGAGAGGCATGCCGTCGGGGCTGCCAAGCGGCATCTTGATGATGTCGTGAAGAATGTGCAGAAGCGATGCTTCTTTTTCGGCTCCCTTGACGCCAAAAAAGGCACTTTCGAGGTCCGGCGACACCTTGGTCTCAATGTCCAGTCGCACAAGGGTGGGATCCTGGAGACCAGCACGCGCGAATTCGACGAGCGACGCAGGCAGCGTCGCGGAGAACAGCAAACTTTGCCTCGAAGGGGGAAGCGCATGCAGAATCTCGGTGAGTTGGGCCGCGAAACCCATCTCGAAGAGACGATCGGCTTCATCGAAAACGACGTACTGGATGGAGGAAAGGTTCAGGGACATCTCGACCTTCAAATGCAAGAATCGACCGGGCGTAGCGATGATAATATCGGGGTTGGCCGACAGCAGACTAAACTGCTCGTCCATGCTGTCACCACCGACAACCAGTGCCGCCTTGAGGTCCGTTCCTTTGTTGAAGTCCTTGACAACTCTCAGCGTCTGGATGGCCAGTTCACGAGACGGCGACATGATGAGGGCTCGGGCACCAAACTTGGCGCTGTGCGTCTTGAGGCGCTCAATCATGGGAATGACGAAGGCAGCCGTCTTTCCGGAACCGGTGCGGGCCATGCCCACGACGTCCTTGCGGTCCATGATCAAGGGAATGGTTTTGCGCTGAATGGGCGTCGGCTGCACAAAGCCCTTCTTCGTGATGGCTCGGAGGAGGTTCGAATTGAGACCTTGGCACGTTAGCTGCTGCTCGATCGCATTGTCGTCAAGACAGCTTCTCCTCACCCATGACCTGGAAGCCACCGCCCTTTTTGTTCACCTTGCCCGTGAGGTTGGTCGTTTTCCTGTTGGCGGCGGCCTGCTTGAGGGCAATGAAAGCCTCGTCTCCGTCGTCGCCATCACCGTCTCCGTGAAGAATGTCGTCAACATCGAAATCCAGCTCGGCGTTCTGGCGCTTGCCCTTCTTGCCATCGTCGCTGGCGCCATCGTCAACTGCAAAGAGAGAGTCGCCGATGTCGTAGCCGCCATCTGACGGCGTGGGGGAGGCTTCGCGGCGAGGCATCGTGACAAGACGCTGTCGTCGTATCAGAAGGCCACAATCGTTGAGTTCAATGTCGAAGTCGAGATTGAGAAACGAAGGTTGGGCTGGAGAAAGGTCCCGCTCATCGACACCGGGGACCTCGAAAATTTGGGCGGCGGAAGGTGCAGTCGGCCAGAAAAAATCTTATCGCAACGTCTTATCGCAGCTAGTGCGGGACAGCTTCTCGCAAGGGTCCCACGCCGCCTGCTGCCGCTGTCTGCTGCCTGCCACGCTACCGCCTGTCAGCCGATGACTTCAGTACGCGCTACCTATCTATCGTTGGTTTCCTTTGTCGCCCTGATCCGACTACAACACCTGCCACCACCCACCACCCAACCACTCTCTTCATTTGACTTGTCGATTCGCTCGCTACTCTGATCCCTCCTCACCATACGATGGCCAATGATGCAAAAGAAGAGACTGATGCGCTTGATGCGCTTGAGCTCGAGGCTAAGGAGTTTGACAAGGTAGGCACGCGACACCTCAACCCTTCGTCCCCCCCCCCCTCTCCTCCACCATGGCCCTCAACCAAACCCATGCACCAGCTGACATCCGCCGCAGGACGCCGAGATTGACAGGATCCTAAAAGCCTTCCGCCTCGATGCCTATGCCGTTCTCGACCTGCAACCAGGTGTGCCCGACTCGGACATCAAAATGTGCTACCGGAAGAAGTCCCTCCTTATCCATCCCGACAAGACCAAGAACCCGCAGGCGCCCGACGCCTTTGACCGCCTCAAGAAGGCGCAGACCGAGCTCATGGACGAAAAGCACCGCGAGCGCCTGGACGAGGCCATTGCCGATGCCCGCATGCTGCTGATTCGTGAGAACAAGTGGACCGTCGACAGCGAGGAGCTCAAGACGCCCGAATTTGCCAAAATGTGGCGGGACAAGTCCCGTGTTGTCCTCATCGACAATGAGCACCGACGACGCAGGCAGCTGAAGGGTCAGATGCAGGAGGAGGGTCGCGAGCAGAAGAAGCAGGAGGAGGAGCTCGACCAGAGGAAACGCAAGAGGCAGCACGAACAGGACTGGGAGGCCACGCGTGACCAGCGCATCGACAGCTGGCGAACTTTTCAAAAGGGAAAATCGGGCGAGGGCAAGAAGAAGAAGAAGATGAAGCCCATTGGCTGACCTGCCTCTTACAGGAAGGCCCGATGCGAACGTCGGGCGCGTGGAGTGTACCAGGCACAGTCATGGCGTTTCGGTGTTTGGACGAGAAATATTTTGTGAGTTTGAAATTGGACCGTCGCCTTCATGTCCCTAACTTGTCGTTTGTTTTTGCTCAGTCTGTTGCCTTTCGCGGGCTCTTCTCCGAATTTGGTCACCAAAGGTAAGTCATACCACCTGGTTGTGATGGAAACACTTTAAACCGTCATCGACACATGATCATGAAATGAATTAGGCCAGGTGCATTTGCTGTTGCTACTATCGGAATACCCCTCCACGGCCCAAAAATCCAACGTTTTGCTTGCTCTCCAGCCATACCATCAATTAGGTCCCAGTTTGCAGCTGCTAGAGGCCCCCTTTCATGCCTTGGGCTTGTTCTTCTTCTTATACGAGATGAAGCGAGCGAGGTTGAGCACCACCTCATCGGCCCTTGTCCTCAGCTCACTGTTCGTTCGCTTGTTGATCGCCTTCACCATGGCCTTGACCTTGTGCTGCACCCCCTCAAACTGCGCCAAGAAGTTGTCCTTCCAGAAGACCTCCACGTCGCACGTGGCGTCCTCATCGCCGTAGATGTCAAATAGTTGGTTGAGCGCCTCAACGACGTCTGCTGCCGGCGTATCAGGCAGAGATGCGACGACCGTGATCAGAAACACGCCAATCTCCCTGTTCAGAGCCACTGGCGTCGGGTCAAGCGCAAGCTGACCGAGCACGCCAATGCACTTGACGCCGAGCCCTTGGAAGGGGTCCTGCTCCTCATCCTGACCGTTCGTCTTGTCATCGGCACCCCCAACCTTGCTGTCCAGCGTCTTGGACGCTTGGTACAGCGCCATGAATTTCTTGTGCTCCTCGCCCTGGAAGGGAATCCTTCCGCCGGGCAGGGTGCGGGCAATGGCCCACGCGAGGCTCGTCACCTGAGACGCGAGCTCAACGTCGGCCGTGTTGGCGGCGAGGACGGCGCAAATGGTGTTCTCCCAAATAGCCTTGCCGGCAGGAGCCCAGGTCTTGAGGATGGATGCGTTGTCGTCCTTGGTGAAGTCGAAGCAGGCCACGGACCAGGCAATGTTGTTGAGGGCTGAGAGGGCTGGAGCCTGCAGGTTGGCGTCGCTGGGTGAAGTAGAGGAGTTGGCGAGGCGCATAATCTCCGGCACCGCCTTGTGCACTAGTTCGCTGAGAGTTGTAAGATCGTCTGAGGCGTCTTCGTCGTCATCGTCCACACCCGTGACCATTTCCATGTCGGCCTGGATATCACCGATATCATCGTCATCGTCCTCGTCTTCCTCTTCCTCCTCCCCTTCGTCGTCGCCTTCCATCTTCGAATCGTCCATGTCTTCATCGTCGTCCTTGACCTCTGCCTTTTCTCCATCCTCCTCCATCGCCTCGTCTCCGTTGGCCTCCTCATCGGCCTTGCCCTGGCTATTCGCCATGGACTCCTGCAAGCTCGTGCCGATGGAAGCCAGAATCTCCAGCGCCAGCTGCAGCACCTCCGCAGGCTTCGACCACTGGCTGCTCGCCGGCAGCGTCTCGTCCGCCTTAGCCCCCTGCTGCAGGGCCGACGACAGCGTTCTGACGAGGCTCGCGTCCGACAGGTCCTTGTTCCCGGCCGGCTGCCCCTCGTACCACTTGAGCGCGGCAAAGACGTTGTGCAGGACGCCGCAGGCGAGGACCTGGCCGGCGCCGTGCGTGCCCTGCAGGCCGAGCAGCGCCGAGAAGGGCTTGGGGTCCTCGTCGGCGACAACGAGCTCGGCGAGGCGGCGGTTGTCCTCGGTGAGGATCAGCAGGCACGAGAGGGCGTCGAGGCGGACGTGGGCGGGCGCGTCGGCGCTCGCGAGGGCGAGGAAGAGGAGGGTGACGGTGGCGGGCAGCGCGACGATGGCCTCGAGAATGTCGTCCTGGGCCTCGGAGAGGGCGGTCAGGAGGGCGAGCAGAGACTCGATGATGGACCAGAGGACTTTTTGCTCGGCCTTGCCCGTCTTGGCGCCCTTGGACTTGATCGTCTCGACAACCTTGGGCGCGCATGTCAGTCTCGACTTCACGTCCAAACACGATTCTGCTCCTTGCAGGTGAGGAAAGGGGGGGGGGGCTGCACTCACAAACTTGGCAGCAAACTCAACGGCGCTCAAGACGTCCGATCGGAACAGGTGCACGCAGAAATCAGCCTCCTCCTCCTCGGCGAGCAGCCTCAGAATGTCCCATCCAGCGGCGCGGCTCTCGAGGCTCGCGTCGGTCAGCGTCTCGCTCAGGATGATGTGGACGATCTGCTCGCGCAGGAAGAGCTTGCGACAGCGTGTGTCGGCCACGAGGTTGGCGACGGCGGCGGCGGCAGCGGTGCGGCGCTTGGGGTCTGCGCTCTGCAGGTCCTTGATGACAGGGAGGACGGACTTTTCGCGGAGGGCGGCGAGCTCGGGGTCGGAGGGGGGCTTGGGGGTCTTGGAGAGAGGGTCCTTGCGGTTGGGACGCACGCGGTTGCGGCGGGTTTTGCCCATGGTTGCGATGTGATTTTGTTCAGATGCTTATGTTTGTGAGAAACTTGTGGGGGCAGACGGAGGGTCTCAATGGCTATGCCTGGGTTGTTGCGATGAGAAAACGTGAGTGAGGAGCAGCCAGCAGGTAACTCAATGTATATGTGAAATCTCATCGTGACCGACCGAGTAAAAATGCATTTTGTAGTGCCGAGTGGCACCCCGCCCCCCACCCACCGCTGTGCCGGGTGCAGGCCCCACAATTGCCCGTGCGCGGCTGCCGGCCCACGGGGTTGAGAACGGGCGCCCGGCCGCCGGTCCGTTTACAGAATGGTTGAATTTACACATGTAGCGATATGCAGCGAAAGGCTTAACAGACAAGCATGCCATCATGTGGATTGTCGTGTATTTTGGTCAGAGGCTGGGTTGACAGTACCTTTGGAAATCTCGACAGTATCCAACCATCAGCTCCCGATCATCTCTGAAGAAGAGGACGGACTGGCCGTCCTCGTTTCCGTCCGCCTCGAAAATGAGGATGCAGAAAGCTCAATGCAAACATGGGTTTGTCACTGTGATAAGCAGGTCCCTGGCAGCACAGCACGCCTAGCCGTGTTGGCAGGTCGAGGCCGGACGAAGTCTCAGCCATCAGACCTGTTAAATCATTGTTTCATCCTCATTGCCGTGTCACCCTGCAAGCGATTCAGGCAAAGTCTTCACCGCGATGGCCAACCGTCCTTCATCCCCAAGCTTGTCTGATTTCACACCAAAGAAATCCTCCCAAGTCGGGCCGGCAGTTGAGCTGAAGGCATGTGCCACTCGACTCAACGGCCAGAAACCTGTCGGGACCGGATTGGTCTGCCTGTTTCGAATAGGCCGATTTCGAAGGGACAGTCTGGCAGAAGATCGATTCAGGCTGTCAAAGGGAAAACATGGAGATGGATTTTGCCATTGATGGCTATGTCTTGGCCCAGTCATCTGGCGTGATTGGGGGTACGCGATGGATCATTTGCACAGGATTGATCCATGGTATGCCTCTTGCGAGGATTTGGATGACAATGAGATGTCATGAATACAACCATGCTAATGAGGGGCCTCTCATCTCAGGGTCTGAATCGCAATTAGCTGTGCCAATGCGTACCCCGTCAAGCGCATTCCAATAACAGAACAGGGCTGAACTGTCATGCATTTTAGCCTTGCTCGACTAACAATTGGGCACAGAACGATGACTAAGCCACATGGGTCACGAACATACAGTGCCAGAGCAGCACCAAAGCACTCCCTGGCTTGCCTGGCTAAGGTCCCCTGGCTCCACAAGGACCTACCTGAGATACTACCTTTGGTGGTTGTTGTCTCGTGGCGAACTCCAGGCGGTCATCTTGCTTCCCTTGACCAACAACAACATCCTCCTCGTGTGGAGAGGGACAAGGAGCTCCCGCTCGCCGACACCCTTGATTCAATTCGAAATGTGAGGCTGCATTCCACGTCTTCCTCCATCTTGACACCACAACCTCACGACTTCTCGAGTTGGTGAGGACGAAGCAATGAGCACGCCAGCCATGTGGACGGCGCTGCGCTCCTCCGTATTCCTCAGCGATGAAGAGCTGGGGAAGAAGGATGACGACCACCAGCTCGCCGGAACCGCTATGCTACGAAGTCCGCATTGGCAGCCCGCGACGACTACACATTTTCGACGACTACTGAAGCGCATCGCCGTCCTCTTCCTTGCTGCTATTGGCCTCTGGCTCGTGTCGCGCGACATCCTCCTCGACCTGGGTTATGGCGACCACCGAAAATCTCGATATACCTATTCCGGCCTCTCTGACTCTGGGGACACCGCCCCATATACGCAACATGGTCCCGCCGTAGGAAACACCAAGCCGAGCGATACAGCAGCCGCGAAGCCAGCGCCCAGGGTGCCGGACCACTCCTACAATGGGCCCATCAAGTTCCACGACCTTGCCGTGTCCCTGCACGCCATTTCGAAATTGAGAGGCTCTCTCCCGGTCAACAAGAACATCCTATTCATGGCGGCGAACCTGAAGACGGCGTCCATCCTGTTGCCAATGGCCTGCGAAATGGGCAGGGAGAGGCGAAATTATGTTCACTTTGCGCTCCTGAGCAGAGACATGATTGGCATGGAGGACTTGCAGCAGATCAATGGCATTGACGATTCTTGCGAGATTTTCTTCCACGACGCCCGACCCGACTTTGTCTCGACTTCATCAGATACCCGGCTCCAGTACGCCACGGCTCGAGCTCTTTTCCACATCAACACCTACATGCACCCCCAGGTTATCATCATCGACAGCACCGAGCAGCAGGAATCCTGGTTCAAGAAGGGGGCGAAATTGCAGGGCGACTTCATGGGCACACCTGTCATTGAGCTCCCAGACAATGCGGCAAAACGTCTTGGCTGGCTGGCCAAGCTCGACAGCTCATCCTTGGCTGCATGGCACAAGATCAACATCGATATTCTCATCCACGCGCCTCCTACCGGTTCGGGCAGCCTGGGACGGCTCCTCAAGTCGCTTCACGTAGCTGACTTCACTGCCGGCACGATGCCCCACCTGACCATTGAGCTGCCCCAAATTGTCGAGAAGGCAACGCAGCGGACGCTGCAAGCGTTCCGATGGCCGCCAGCACGGATGGCACACACCTATGGCAACGCGCAGATGCTGTCACTGCGACACCGCATCCCGCGAGAGCGCTTGACCGAAGAGGAGAGTTCGGTGCGGTTTCTCGAATCCTTCTGGCCGCGATCTGCGGAGCATTCGCACGTCCTTGTCCTTTCGCCACAGGTCGAACTGACACCCCAGTTCTTTCACTGTAAGTTTCCCCACCGCCGCCCTGTTGGCGGCATGCGGTGCTAACCGAGTCTGGCAGATCTCAAGTTCATGCTGCTTGAATACCGTTATTCCGGGACAGCCCTGTCACAGCAGTGGGACCGTCAAATCATGGGCTTCAGCATGGTCGTGCCGCAGGCGTTCATCAATGGGACCCTGGGTTTCGAGGAGCCAGATCCCCTCCAGCAAGAGGGGAAAGGCGGCGGCTTTCTCTGGCAGGCCCCGCACAGCGACGCCGTCCTCTTCATGGGCGACAAGTGGGTCGAGCTTCATCGTTTCGTCTCCCAGACGCTGGAGCGACAGCACGACGCCTCGCCGCCGGCCGTCCTCTCGCACAAGGAGGTCAGCAGGCAGTATCCGTCGTGGCTCGAGCATGTCCTGCGGCTGTCGCAAGCGCGCGGGTACCTCACCGTGTATCCCAGCGCCGAGACGGCGAGCGTCATGGCGACGGTGCACAAGGACCTCTCGCAGCCGCCGGAGGAGTACTGGAAGGGCGTGGCTGCTGACGAGACGCCGAAAGAGGGCCTCGTCACCCTCGACAACGACAGCCCGGTGAGCCCGCTCGTAGGCATCCTCGACACGCTGCCTGGCAGGAGCGCGTTTCTCGACTACGTGCAGATGCCGATGCTGGCCTGGAAGGGCGCTGTCTCGGATCTGCAGGAGGTGGACCGCTCAGCGCGGGAGTATGCCGCCATCTGGCGACAGAAGGTGGGCAAATGCGATCCCAAGTCCGAAGAGGCGGCGGAGCAGTTGATGGGTCGGCAAAAAGACCTGTTCTGCGAGGGGGCGGACAAGGTAGAGTGAAGGCGTCTGGTGACGAAGATGAGGGCAAGACGAGAAGAGAGAGACGGTTTTGGGGTTTTTGGATTTTCTTTTTCATGATATACCCCCCCCCCTTTATTTTTGAGGCCGGATACAGGCCTCGGAAGGAGACAGCATGCACGCGGCACAGCACAGCACAGCACAGCATAGCTTTTCGGATGAATATGAGAGTGAACAAACATCAACATGAAGAGCGTGACTGCTATCTATCAACCCGTATCCGTGTCGGTGCTGACCTTGGCAATGACGAGCAGCACGACACAGGTGCCAATGATGGCCATGGCGACAACGCTCAGCAGCAGCTGCGTCTTCCAGCCCGTCTGCACAATGGCAGCCTTGCGGCTGTACTTGTTCATGGTGGAGATGTAGTTGCCGAGGCCGAGGAAGAGACAGCACACGCTGAGGCCCCAAAAGGTGGCGCCGAGGGGCTTGGCCATGCGCAGCTCGAACTCGCTGGGCTGCGTCTTGAGGTGGAAGGACAGGACGATGGCGACGGAGACGATGGCCATGTAGACGCTCAGGCGGAGGTAGGAGAGGAAGGTGCGCTCGTTGGCGCAGTGGTCGCGGGCGTCGGACGTTTCGTTCTCGAAGAGGAGCGGCGCGTAGAACGGCCAGGTCCAGAAGGAGGAGTGGCGGTGCTCGGGGCGCAGGTGGGAGATGTGGATGGGGGCGGCGAGGGGCAGGCAGACGGGGGACGGCGTGAGGTCCTCGTCGTCGAGCGTGACGTCCATGGTTTCGCCTCTGGTTTGGGAGGGATGAGAGGGCACGATGTGAGAAGTGAGAAGCAAGTGCGGGGATGTAGATGGCGCAACGTCAATCACTGACAGGTCGATGACGTTCGACAGAGATAAGACTTGTGCGCTGTGTGAGAATCGACCATGAGAGCACTTGGTGTTGAGGGGCAAGGTGATGTGCAAGGTGATATGCAGAGGGAGAGGCGATTGCGCGATGGCACGGGACCGATAGTGATTGCGTTGGCGCAGAGGTCATTCATCTAAGGGTGCCAGAGCAGGATTGACGATGGTGCTGCGTGTTGGTTGTGTATAATTCGCACTGCTTTAGTGTACACATTTCTATTACATACAGTGCGAATCTATTTCTCCCCAACATCCCGGGATCTCACTGGAGTACCATTCATAGGAACTGCTGGGTCTTTGGCAGCACTGCAGATCCTCGACTCTTCACGATGCCATCTTGTTGTTGGCTTCTCGTGCCATCACTTGCACCCCATACTACATCCATTCATCGAAAAGCAAAGGTGCAGCGTCCAGGTTGAACCTCGGCAGTCTGCTAGCGTGGGCCTCGACCTCCCCCCCCCCCCTTCCCCCTAAAGCCCCCCAAAGCTCCGGGCCGCCTCCACAGGCCCACGGGCCACGGCCCACGACTGTGTGCTGAGTCGCCCGAACTCGGGAGCTACCCGAACATGCCTCTAGACATCTGAAAACTGCATCATCGACCACCTCTGCTCCCCCGATTCTTCCTTCTGGTTCCATCCCCCCTCCATTGTGCCATTTCATCAGTTTCCGTCCATATACCCCTCTTAAACACATCGCTTAATACTCCTCCGCCTCCGATACCAGTGATTGAGGGTCTCCTCTGACACAACCAACAACACTCCACGCCTCCTGATCGAACCCGAGAACCCCCCCGATGGCGCGTACCCCAGATTCGACCGTCCCCGTCATTCCTCTCGCCCGAGGCACCATCCTCCTCCCCGGCATCACCCACCGCGTGCCCGTCTCCGCCTCTCGCCCCGACATTCCCGCCCTCCTCGCCAACGTCTATACCCGTGCCGCCGCAGCAGGGCCCAACGCCCGCATCGACGCTGTACCCATTGTCTGCGTGCCCGTCGCCTCCCCTTTCGTCGGCCCCAACGGCCAGCTCCTCATCGACAGCGCCGAGTCCGTCGACGAGTCCCAGATCAAGCAGATCAATCCCGGCTCCGCAACAAAGGAGGATCTCTTCAATTATGGTGTCGCCGCCCGCATCACCGGCATCGAAGGCCGCGGCACCGCCGAGTTTGCCTTGCGAGTCGAGGGAGTCGCGAGGGTCCGCGTCGAAAAGGTCACACAGGAGCGCCCCTACTTTGAGGCGACCGTCAAGCACTACCCCGACGTCGTCACCGCCGACGCCCAGCTGCAGGAGCTCTTTGGCCTCATGAAGCTGCGCTCACGCGAGCTCGTCCTGACCCTCCGCATCTCTTCCCTCCTGCCGACGCCCCGCAATGCCGAGAACCCCGGGCTCTCGCCCCTGATCATCCGACGCCTGGAGATGTTCATCATGAAGAAGGAGGTCAAGGACGCCGGTTCGCTGGCCGACTTTATGACCAACATTGTCGAGGCGTCGTACGAGCAAAAGCTGGAGGTGCTGGCAGCCCTCGACATCAAGGTCCGCATGGCCAAGGTCATCGAGCTGCTTGATCGTCAGGTCAGTGGCCTCAAGAACAGCTTCAAAATCACCGCCTTCACGAACGTACCCGTCCAGGTGCTCGACAAGCTGCACGACAGGGCACCGAAGAGGCGAGGAACAGGCCCCGGCGGCGTGCCTGTGCCGCCCAACGGCTTCTTCCCACCGGGAGCCAATGGCATGATGGGTGGAGATCAGGATGACGAACAAGAGCCCAACGAGTTGGACGAGTTGAAGAAGAAGCTCGATGCTGCCCGGCTGCCTCCTGAAGCCACTAAGATTGCCGACCGGGAGCTGCGGCGCTCAAGAAGATGATGCCTGGCAACCAAGAGTTCCAGGTGACGAGGACGTGGTTAGAGGTGCTCTCCGAGATTCCCTGGTCCGCGACAACCGACGACCGACTGGGCCCTGAGACACTGGTCCGGGCGCGGAAGCAGCTCGATGATGACCATTACGGCCTGGACAAGGTAAAGAAGCGGCTTGTCGAGTATCTTGCCGTTCTGCGCCTGAAGCAGTCCGTCAATGATGAAGTCGACGAACAGATACGCAAGGCCGAGGAGGAATCCGTGGCCCTTAGCACCGGCAAGGAAACGGAGGAGAACAAGCCAGCAAACGACGCTGACCTCGAGGAGAAGGTCAGCAACGCACATGCGAAGCGTAAACGTACTCCGCTCTCGCCGCATGACCGACAAGTCGCCCATTATGCTGCTCGCCGGACCTCCCGGTGTCGGCAAGACCAGCTTGGCCAAATCGATCGCCACGGCGCTTGGCGGCAAATTCCACCGAATCTCTCTGGAAGGCGTTAGGGATGAGGCCGAGATTCGCGCCCATCGCAGGACTTACGTGGGCCGCCATGCCCGGACTTGATCGTCCAGGGGACTGAGGAAGGGCGGCGTCGCGAACCCCGTGTTCCTGCTCGACGAGATCGACAAGCTGGGCATGTCCAACATGCACGGCGATCCCTCAGCCGCCATGCTGGAGGTTCTCGATCCCGAGCAGAACATAAACTTCACTGACCACTATGTCGGTATGCCCATCGACCTTAGCAAGATTGTCTTCATCGCGACTGCCAACAGCCTCGACACCATCCCAGCCCCGCTGCTCGACCGCATGGAGACCATCTACCTACCTGGCTACACGACGCTTGAGAAACGTCATATCGCCATGCAACACCTCGTGCCCAAGCAGATCCGTGTCAACGGCTTGGCTGAGGATCAGATCAACTTCAACAAGGAGGTTGTATCCAAGATTATTGAGTCGTACACGCGCGAGGCAGGAGTCCGTAACCTGGAACGCGAAATCGGCTCCGTGTGTCGCGCAAAGGCAGTGGACTTTGCCGAAGCCAAGGACGGCGGACAGCTCGAGACATACCGGGCCCAGCTGACAGTCGACGACATTGAGACGATTCTCGGCATTGAGCGCTTCGAGGAAGAAATCGCCGAGACGACCAGCCGGCCCGGCATCGTCACTGGCCTCGTCGCGTACAGTTCTGGGGGCAACGGCAGTATCCTGTTCATCGAGGTTGCCGATATGCCGGGTGACGGCAGGCTGCAGCTTACCGGCAAGCTGGGCGATGTCCTCAAGGAGAGCGTCGAGGTGGCCCTGTCTTGGGTCAAAGCCCACGCCTTTGAGCTGGGTCTCACGTCGGACCCGACGACCAACATAATGAAGGAGCGCAGCATACATGTGCACTGTCCCTCGGGCGCCATCCCCAAGGATGGGCCCAGCAGCGGCATCGGGCAGGCGATTGCTCTCATTTCGCTTTTCTCCGGCAAGAGTGTGCCACCCACCATGGCCATGACGGTAAGCCTCACACGAGAAACCCCTTGCCTTTTCCTGGGCCTCTACATGACATATACTGACGCGCCATCTTCAGGGCGAGATATCTCTGCGCGGCCGAGTCACCGCCGTTGGCGGCATCAAGGAGAAGCTCATTGGGGCCCTCCGCGCAGGTGTCAAGACGGTGTTGCTCCCCGCCCAGAACCGCAAGGACGTCAAGGATCTTCCACAGGAGGTCAAGGACGGGCTCGAGATTCTTCATGTCAGGTAAGCACAAAGCGCCACCTCGCCTGCTGGGGGAGGGCTGGCAACATAATCCCTCCCCTCCATGTTTCACACGCCGTGTCACCGTCCCAGCTGTCTGGTGTGTCTTCGTGTTACTGACTTATTCCACCCATAGTCACATTTGGGAGGCCGTCCGACTTGTCTGGCCCGAATCGCAGTGGCCAGGCTTGGAGCACTACGCCGCCATCGAGAGCCGTCTCTAGTGGCTCGACGTGCCACGTCAGATCGGCGGAATCGAGCGTACATAGTGTCAATCTGGTTGATTGGGCGCTGAGTTGACAGTTTCAGCTGCGAGAATAGCTGTTGGGTGACGAGCTGGCCCCGGCGCATCGGTGTTTGGTGCCGCGCTTGCGTTTGAATGACTCTTGTTGAATCTTACCTGTACCACATACGCCATATTTACATTACCTGCCAAACAAA